GGGGGGGGGTCCCACGCCATACGCTCTCTGACACTTCTCAGTAAGGCACATGGCTTAAGCCAATTCCACATTGGCCCTTAAGTGTTTTTCACTAGTCCACTGCTGGGTTTTAGGCCTAGTCTACGAAGCAGCTATTTTGTTATTCTGTGCCCTTAGTCAGGCTCGTGCTGTATACCTCGGATCCCACCAAAACCCAGCAGATGATGCTGGCGGGTTACCAGCAGCAGATCTGCTGTGCTGTCCTGACAATGGCTTCAATGCCTTCCCCTCCTGGAAGGGAAAGGACCCAGCGCTTCCTGCTGTCAGCACGCCATGCGTGGCACACTCCCATTCTTCCTTACAAGGCTGTTCCCGTTCACTCTGAAATGAAACAGGCTGGCAGCTATCCCACCGCCCCCTTCTCACCTCCACAGCAAGGAGTACAGCACAGCATCCCCGGACCCCCATGCCTGGGGGAGGGGGAGGGCAGAGGAGGAAAACAGAAGAATGGGTGCCACAAAGCGCCAACTTGAGGATGCACATCTGCTAGGAACCAGTGCTCACCTTCAGTTGCCTGAAGCACTACAAAGAGGCCGCCTGCATCCTGGAAAGGGCAGGGAGAAAAAACAGGAGAGCTAGTTCTTGCTTTGGAATTATTTCGTGTTTCACGTTAAAGGCAGACACCAGGCCTCCCCCAGCTACGCAAGTGTGATAACTCCTGCCCTCAGATGTCCTTATCTCCTGCTCTCTTTCCAGGCTTTTCTGCAGCAGCTTCAGTATGAGAGCTGGAGCATGTATCCCACCTCCCAGATGCTTTCAGGCTTTGCCTGCTGCTTGATAACTAGGGGCATGTTCTCAAGCTCTGCTCTGTATGCGGGTTAGTGGGCTAATCCTTCGGTGCCACTTACACGTTCCCAGCATCAGCAGAGCCAGACGCTCCGGTCAGAGCTTTGTGTTAAGGAGTCAGATATCCCTAAGTGCCTATACAGCCACTGCTGAATGTGCCTTAAACTTTCTAAACATGCACTTGTCATCTTCAGGATGCTTTGCCTTGGGGGAAGAAAGGAAAATTATCCAGCCTAACAAAAACTTCATAAACGCTGCAAGAGTTCAGAATGACTTTTAAGCAGCTCTGTGTATAGCCACGATAGCATACAGAGAGTTTAATTAACTGATAAAAATGCTCCGAGAAGGTCACTAAAAAAGAACTTGATCAATAAAACTGATGATAAACTACAATTTCACAAGTAAAGAAAACCAGCACAGATGCCATTAAGTTGTTCAGCCTTACCAAACAGGTATCTGGAATAGGTGACCAGCTGTAATTGCAACTGCACACGTACATAGATGCTCCAAACTTACTCAGAGCCCCGCTGAGCAGTCAATCAGCTGGGCTCTCGTCAGCACAGGTCTGCAGCTCCCACTGAAGCAGACTCTCTACTGCAACCCGTCTCATCAGTTACCCCAATCAGGACAAAAACACCCTTCTGTAACACATCCCTTTATATTAACAGCATCCAGAAAGCTGTGGTAACACATATATCCGGAACAGTACTTATTCTGACAAAAAGCTAATTCCAAAGTGCATACATTTAATGTTTGCAAGCACTAATGGGCTTCTATGTTCAATAAAAAACATGAAAGCAAAAAACATATTCAAACAATACCTGCAGTGGAAATGGGGAACTGAAAGGTAATACGCCTAAACAGATGTTCCTCATTCCTTTGATAAAAAGACCACTATTATATTAAAAAATCCATAGTGAATGTTGAATAAACACGATGTCTGCAAAGGAAACTGCATTTTCCATCACCTTCTAGGTCTATACCAGCTTTGCTATAGCTAAAAATCAGTCCAAGTAGCACACATAAAAAAAAAAAAAACAAAAAAACATTACTTCCTAGCAAAATCTGACCATCTGCAAATGAAAAATTCTTATCCCCAGGTTTCAGCCTGGATATTCAAAATAAGACAACAGACTCCTGTCAAAAAGGTCAGACATTAAAAAGGACTACACAAGGAAGTTACGCATTTAATGTCTAGAAGCTGAAGTTGGGGACTCTGATTAGTTGGGGATTAATCAAATCTGGTTTGATTACCTCTGCTTGAGATAATCAAACCTCAAGCAACACTGCAGACCTCGTGAAAGTCAGTCAAATGTTTGGCGATTCCATATTGAAAGTGAATGTAAATAGTCATATTTTCTTCAAAGAAAACTATGATATTTTGGGTGTTGGATGTATTCATTCCAACTGCAAAGAGGGCTTACTTAGTAAATACAGCATTGAGGGGGTTCCACTTCCGCTAACTCCTACAGAATACATTAGGCACTGGAAATGGCCTTGTCCAATTCAAATTAAAATAAAGCATGTTGCTCAAGAGAGTAGATGGATGCAGAAATTCATTTTTGTTAAGTATCTGTATATACTCAGGAATCTGGTGAAATCAGCCAGGAAGCACCAACTGTTTTTCTTAATACTGGCTTTGTGCAAGCAATTGTGAAATCTTGGCAATTTTTACAGAAAACTTGCACCTCCAACCTGGCCATAAGCATTGCATGTTTCTAATCTTACAAAAAATCTCCTCCAAGTTCAGATATTACAGTCATACTAAAGTCATACACACAAAAGTCATTTTTTTTAAGCACACAGTACTATCAGGTGATGAAGAACAGTCATGTTTAGGGACCAAATATTAACTTTTCCCTGTGAACTGGGATTTTTATCAGTGCTGTAAAAACAAGAAAACAAAAAATAGCTGTCCTCTGACAGTTGTATTTGTTCATTATATCTGTTAATCAGCAGTTAATTAAACACCAATATAACTGTAATGGAATAATGGCTCCAGATGTTATGGCAAAGGAAATTTTCATTCCTTAAAAATGCATCTTTAGAAACAGCAGGAAGTCTCAGAGAAAATAAACATGATTACCTGCTGTCAGACATGCCCAAGAGAGGATGCAACAGGAAAGTCTCCCCGTGCACGGTAGCAGAAGTCACAGTGGTACTTGGGGCATTCCTAACAGTTGCCCTGCCTATCCACTGAGGTGAAGTAAAGAGATAGGTAGAAAGACCCCTGTAGATTTTATAAGCAAGATTAAACCTGGTTTTATATCTAAACATAAATACCCATATCTTTCAATCCTTGACTTAAAATGGTAAAGGATCGCTTTTTACAACTTCATGTGTCCAGACTTCAGAAAGCTGCATAAAAGCTAATACAAGCAAACTTTTAAGTGCTAAACACAGATTGTGTTTTCTGTTCTTCTGGGTTTTTTTAAATATTCATTGTTAAACATCCCCTAAAATTCTTGTACGCTTACCCTCCTCCTTATCTCTTCCTCATCTTCCTGGTTCCCAAAACAAAAGCAGATTGGGCTCAGGAATGCACTCTACTTTTCTGGCTCAAAGCAGGGGAGAGAGAGGCTTGCCCGCAAAGCACATCCCCTGCAACACCAGTGTGGGATGCTGCACATCAAGGTATCTTCATGGTGTTAGTCTCACGTATCAGTCTGAGAAACAGACATTATGAATAATACAATAAGTATCACTGCTGCTCACTTAAGACTGCAATTTCATTCTCTAATTCTTCTTCATCTTAAGATACCTAGATTTTCTTGACCACTCTTAAAAAGAAAATAAGTATCCAGCTTCTTCTCTGTCGTAATCTGACTCCAGCTTGCTGAAACACGTAACTTTTGGTGGATAGTGCCCTCAGAAATTTGTCAGAAGCAACACTTCACGGTAGCTGTAGCTGTAGCAAAGCCCTGCCAATCCCCAAATCCAGCAACACAAGCAGCATGGCAACCTCTCTGCTGTTAAAGTTTTTTTTTTTCTTTAAGCACTTCCCTGAACCCTTACATTACTCCAGGCCATATACAACATCTATCTTTATCTGTCTATTTGTACATTATGAAACATCATAAATAACTGAAGTGTAATTGTAAAAAACAAAACAAAATTCAACAATGATGTAACTGAGGATGGTACCACATCACCACATGGTTGCAATTCTGTTTTCTAAGTATCTGTTGTTTGCTGGTTAATTCACAAACTTCTGGAATATACAATGGTTCTCTCAAACACCAGTCCAGACCAAGGAAGCTCTATTCCAGCACAATCAAACAAAGCCAGCAGAAGAAACAAAATTCCTGTTCTTTTCTTGTTTAAGCTAATTAGACTGATTTATTACTTGCCTGTCACCAGTTGCTTATTTATCTATTTCAAAAATAAGAAGAAGAAGAGGAGCCAAGAAATCAAAGTCACTCCATCTACTCACCAGACCATTTCTTTTCAATCTTTCTTGAGTTCAAACAGAGAAGAGCGCAAAAATGGTGGGTTAAGTGGCAGAATTTTGCTGGATAATTACTAAAAATAAACCATGCCCACAGAGATCACTTTCAAAAGGTAATTAAGAGCAAATTAAACAAATGAAAAAAAATGTGCAAGTATTTACAGCACTAGACAGAGGGCCACTAGTGTCTAAAAGCTGATCCCCAGAAACTAGAGCATTTCCAGGTTACATTTTAATTAGGAAACCTTTCACGTATGTGTCAATGAGAAACAAAGTGTTCCAAAACATAGCCTCTTACACATTCCAGCTATAGTCTACTAATATGCAATAGCTTCTTTTTTTTTTTTTTTTTTCTTCTTCTCAAATTTAGCCTATTCCCCTACTGCCTCACAAAGGCAAAACTGATTTTGTAAGTAAAGAGCTTGCATGATATGCAGGACACACTCCAATACATTCCTTCCATTAACATACTTTTGACGAAGCTTTTTCATGTCATCTGCCAAATTCTCCAAACCTGGTGCCCCCCATACATTTCACTGGATGGATACGACCCATTTTCCTCTTCTAGTCCAGTATTCTTTTGTGTCTTCAGGTCTCCTTTAAAAACAAGTTTAACCATCGACTGAAAAATGTCCACAGGCATCTTAGGCATCTTACACTGATTTACCGGAAAAAAAAAAAAGAACACAAAGAACAAAACAAATAAAAAGTCCCATCTAGCTTCTTCTTTTGGAGAACAGCTTTACATTCCTGAGAGTGAATAACTGCTGGAACAAGATCGCCTTGAAATGTTCCAGGACTTGTCAGACATTGTAATCTGGGGACTTCCCCTGTGGTTGTCTCAGTCGTATTTGTAACGTAGAAAATGCTCCCACAGTCACATGAAAGAAGAGTTGCCACAGATTGCGCAGTTCATACAGATACATGTTACACAGGCAAATTAACCCAAAAGTCAGGAAGGATTTGACATTCCTCCAGCCTGTGTAATACACAAATAGGTAACACTGCCAGGAAGAAAAAAGAAATCACATTAGTACGTGGAAAATAACTTCCACTGATGCAACATATCTGGTCATTAAGAAATTACAAAAATAAAAAAGTAAAACTTTTTAATTAATCATATAAGAATAGCATCAATTTACAGCAGTCAAAGAAGGGTGAGAAGTACTCAACATCACTAAAAGTTTAATTTTTTTTCCATTAAACTCTCTTTAAGGACAATTCTCTCAAAATAATTGATAAAAACTGCAATAACGAGAGCGGCTCCTGACAAAGGGAAGTGGATGTTCCTGGCAATCTCCAGTCTAAAATACAATCTCTGCTCCAGCCAGGCAAGGGGGAAGGAACGAGAGCCAGCTTTAAGTCCTCTTTGGGACAAGGATGGTAAGGGCAAGGAGAACAGCAGTGCCTGGCAGGGGGGAACGCTCAGCACCAGGCAGTCCTGCAGGTGCAAACCCAGCATCCTGCTAGGTTAACGCCAAGGGGAACCGGTGGATGTGGAGCAGCCCGCTGCTATGCGCTGCACAACACCCAGCGATCCTGCTGTAATTCTACACGTTTTAAGGGTCAGTCTCTGCGCAGAGAAGATGTACGTCGCTGTGGAACGCAAAACGCCAGGACTGTCCACAGCTCCCTATTCTTTGCCTTCCTCCTCCTGCGAGCTGAACAGCTGTGAAATCTGTTCTATTGTCTTACCTCAGTTTTCTTTTCAGTTCTAAAAGGATGCAGCTGTCCAGCATTTTTCATGGACATTATTTTTATTTCTTCTATTGTTCAAACCACTTCCCCAACTTCCACAAAAAATTATTTGTCCTCTGGATTCGAGCCATTTCCATTTGCCGAAGGAAGCTTTTGCTATGCTTCAAGGTAGGTAACAACATCACTTGGGCTTAGTTTGTATTCCAAACCTGTTCCCAGTGGGCATATAACTATGCTCTTCCAAAGTTTTAACAGCATTCATTATCAGACTACCTAAGTGCCATTCGCTTTCGTGGGCATTTGCCATGTTTTATCAGTGTCAGAGAAACCGTACCTAATTTTTTTTTTTAATTTTTCATCTTCCTCAAAAAGTAATGCCAAAGCATGGTACGCTTACACCTGGACAACGCAATTTATTGGGGTTTATATTCTATTGGAAATTTAACTCACTTCTTTATAAAGTATGTATTTCCGTTGCAAGCATGGTTCAGGTTATCCGAACTACTAGAAATTTCTAGATATCTGAATACCTTCACAGGTGTGAGAACATTGGTAAGATTTTTGTTTCCTCCCTCCAAAGCAAAGTAATCGGGTTTCAGAATCTAGATGGAATTCCTTTGAACCTGTTTGGCCATCTTGAGCAGAGAAAATGCAGCCTACTTAGGCAGACAGTTTTACAAATTATATCTAAAAAGAGTAATTCATTGGTACTAGTATATCAACAATAAGAATCCAGTAATTTCCTAGTGTCATCTCCTCCACTGACACTATCTGAAGTATAGCTCCTTCCAAGAACAAAGTAAGAGTCAGGATATGCTTCGTTCAAATAATTAAAACTAGAAGGAGTTAAAAAACAAAAATAGTTAGTACAGAAGTCTAAATATGTTACTGCAATATGCTGTTGGATGATTGTAAATTTTACTGAAGATCTGTTTTAAATTAATTCTGGAGCTGAATTTTTCATTAGTCTAAGTTTGAGATGGTAAAAAAAAAATCTATCACTTACAAAAAACAGCAGCAGTCAGAAGGCCAAGACACTGTGTTCTAACATGTTCCTCTAACCAGTGCTGTAATGAAATTCCTGAGGTCTTTGGTCTTTTCTTTTTTCTTTTTTTTAAACAAATGCTAAGAAACAACTGACGGTTCAGTTCCTGACACTTCTTTGCACTGTGGGTACAACGAAGACAGCTGTTACTCTTGCTCATTTTCTTCTTCAGAAGACTAGAAACTTCATGGAGAAACAACGGACATGTCAGCTCTAGATGCACTGGAACAGACAATTCTTGGCTTCGTGGATGTATTATCAGAGTTCCTAATCTTAGTTATTTTTCCCTGAGAACACTGCAGCACTATATTATCAGTGTTGCAATACTCAGTTACAGTTTTGTAAGCAAAGTAGGCCATAAAACAGAAAGACTTGAAAGTTTACTTGGAAATGGTGCTTTCAGATGTGCAAAAAAAAAACTGTGATCCGAAATGGAAAAAATCGTAAAGCAACTAAAACCCATAGTTTAATATTTGAATGCTGCTAAATCGTGCCCTAAAGATGTAACTCGATTTGTATAGAAAAGTGAACTTAAATGCCGATAACATCAGATTGAAATGGAAGGTTTTAGAGATTATTTGGTAGATACTCATGGTGATGGACCATACCCCCAAAATGCTAGTAGTAGGTGGAATAGCTACTGCTCGGTTTATGTCGGAAATACTTTTCTCCTACATCAATCTAAAAAACATCCAGATGGTATGCTGTATGTGAAAAATGTAGAAGAAATATTATTACTATTTCAGTTTGATGCATACAGATATATGTCTGCAGCCTTGGTTTGCCAATCCATACATCCTATGTATTACCAGGATTCTTGAAAAAGCAGTGGAGAATGATTTTCTCTGTGCAGCTCACTTTCACTTTGTTTCTTCATGAGACTAAGACATCCTATTCTGTACAAGCCCACTTTTTGCCTGCACATCTATGTTGCAATCATTTTCTTGGAAAATAGAAAAAGAAATATACCGCTGTGTAATTATTAATTGAACAAGATAATACAACATTACAGAAGTCTTGCGGGTGAACTGTAATGTGCAATGTGCTGTCATACAACACAAACTTGGAAATAATCTCCCTAACTCCTATATGGGACAACGGATATCAGAGCACACCAAGGAACCGACAGTCCTCTTTGCTCCGAAAACCGACCAACTACATCCTGCAGCAACTGCCTTAGAGGGTGTGCAACAAGAGGCCTCATAGATATATTCAGAATATTAGGGAAAAGCCTACTTTCCCAACTGTATGGATTCTTTCTTTTAAATACATCTATTCAAGTAAGCAAGTGGGGGAAGGACATATGTCCTTATGTCTCAATGCATAGACAAGAACACTTTATAAAGAGTCAGAGTTTCTAATTTGGGAAAGGAGGGAAGAATGCTTATTTTTCTCGCAAAAAAAGAACGGAGGGGCTCTGCCTTATCTGATATGGAACAGATTGTGGGCACGGAAAATTAACACCAGCTTAAAGAATTACTTAAGGCAAAAGCTGGTGAAATATCAACAAGTGCTGAAGAATACGAGTTGCGCTGTGACATTTTGCTACAGACTAGTTGTAGAGAACAGAGATTACAGGCAACTTGCACAAAAGGCTGATTGATGGAAAGGCTGAGGTAAAAAAAAATCCTGAGACGTTTTATTTTACAGTTTGACACTGTACTATGTGAGCATGGCAAAAAGTAGAAACCACATATTCCACAGGCACAAGAGATTATGAGTCAAAAGGACTATAAGAAAAACACCAATGGAATGTGACTGACATCACAGTCATAGCTAAACATAACAGTAGCGTCATTGAATGACAAATACCAATGTGTACCCGAATACCTTGCTACAAAGTATACAGGAAAGTCAAATTAAGCTGCAAAAATGGAAAAACTACAGACACAAAACGCAAGCACCAAATATCAGACTGGAGAAGGAAAACAGAGAGGAAAGTGGCTGAAAGCCTTGAAAAGGAAGGAGATGTCTGATAACATACCAAGCATGGGAAATTTGGGGGTGTAGTAAGTACAAGGTATTACTGTATTTGCCACAGACCTTTCTAAAGGAAAGAAGCAGCAAGTCATCTGTTTAGACAGTTAGATACGCTTGAACTATAGAGCTATTATTTTAAGGAAATTATATAACCTCCATCGCTTGCGACTTTTACAGATAAATTGTAAGCTCCAGAAAGAAAAGTATACCCTGCATCCTGATGAACTGAAGCATAATGCCAGCAAATAGAAGCTTTTTGTAGGAATCTGCTCTATCATAGTTTTTGACCATGAAGTAAAACAGAGCAGAAATTATTTTTACAATGACTCTACTCAAATATTCATGACACTTAAGAAACAAACGGTGTTTACAGATGATCGAGTTATGTTTTTAAATTCAAGTGAACTGTACAAGTACAAGAACATACCTGGTACAAACAGGCTGCTGTTCCAAGAAAAAATGCAATAACGTAACTGAAATCTTCCCCTTCGTTCTGTGAAAATAAAAACAAAACATCACATTTTACAATGTTTCAACAAAAACAAATGCTAGACATGTATAGTTTGAAAATTATTCATTATTCAAAGTTAATGTAGTCTCACAAAGAGATTTATAATAATTCCTATATTAAGTTAAACCATAAGAATTAGCAGTAATCATTACTTATTTATCTCTCCGGAACAAAAGCACCACGATCTACAATCCGACCAAAATGTTTTTTCACCATGACGGACAACTAATGCCGAGATTTTCAAAAGTCTAAAGGAAGTCCAGCTGTAACACTGGACATTTACCTTCTCCAGATGCCCTTGATAATCTGAGTCTAAACACAAGGAACTACCTTTAACATCAACTTCATGGAATTATGCCTTCCTGCAGCTTCACAAAATGGAAACTAGGTAAAACAGAAAAGAGACAAACTAGCCACTAGGGTGTGCTAATAGTCTATGCAGAAAATAGAGATGGCAGGTCTGCATTAACAGCAGCGAGGACAAACAAAAGCATAAGAATTTACCAGAGATTATTCCTAAAAAGAGATATGGACAGAAAACTAAGTTTTCATAAAGGAAAAGATAGAAAGATTTACTTAAAATTACAGCTCTTCCCACTCTGTTTTTTTTTTTTTAAACACATATTCCTCCTAACTTACTCAAATGCGTTTTTATAGTTTCTATAGAGCTGAGCAGAATAAATTTACATGCACAGTGATTATTCTATCTGCATTCCAAATAAACATCTGCCACAATCAAAAACCTCCCCAGGAAAACAAAGGCTATTCATGCAAATGTTCTTTCTTGAAGGAGAATTTCATTTTGAGAAGAAACTGGGCCATTTGGAGCTACAACTTGTTTCTGCTAAGATTATGTTTAATGCAAAGCATCTGCATCTACAGCTTTCATAAGTGAAAAATTCACACGTTTGCACTAACATTTACCTCCACAATGCAGTACACTCCTAAAGCATATGAAAGTCTTACAAGGCCACTGTAGTTTTGCTAAAGCATAGCTACAGGTTATAACAGAGTTTTACTAATACCTAAATAAAAGACAGATTATAAAGGAAAACATACTAAACTGAGAGAGAAGCTTTGCAATGAATTTTCAGAAAAAGTTCCATAAATCACATTCGGGATGACTTCTGCCTTAACTTTGTGATTTCTTCCATAATAAGGGAAATATGTACTTTTGGTGTCATTTATTACAAATGAAAAAATACTATCTTCCATCTGTATTGCCGTCTATTACCTCCAGAGGCAACAGCATGCAGAATAAAATGAACTGGCTGCCCTATCATCAGTTAAATAGGTTAATCCAACACTGGCATATCTTTCTGCAGCTGTGATTAAAAAAAAAAAAAAAAGTAGAAACATTGCAATTAAAGTGGTAACATTCTGTTCATTACTTTTGTACGGCACTGTACTCTAAATTCATTCAGTTGTATAAATTGAAAGGCATGGTGACAAAATTCAGAAGATATTGTACATATTCATACAAGAAAGATACTGAATGAGCAGTGTACCTGTTCTCTAAAAAAAGCTATGTAAATATGTATAATACATAGAAACATAAATAGGGATAAAAGTAAAGATGTATGGACACTAGTTTATTCTTGTTTTTGCTTTATTAACCCTGCTCAACCATTCATTAGCCTTCCGGAATTGCTCATACCTCAAATAGAAATGTTTTATTAATTCTGTACGTATACGTATAGCTATATAAGACGTCACTGGGCTATAGATCATCATCTTTCCCTTACTGCCCTAGAAAGTCCATTACATATCGAAAGCACTGCAGTTATAAAGTCTACAAATTCATTTGAACAAAACTGTACTGGTCTCTACTGGCCAAGCAGGAGGAATCCTCATTTCTTTCTGAAAATTTCCAAGAGATTTTTAGTTTCTATCTCCATCACCACAACAGTAAAGCCCTGTTTAATGTTAAGCAAATCTTCTTTTTTGTAGGAATAAACACCAGCTTTCTGGGCGTACTTATAACTAACACCAACATATTCACCTGAACTGCCAGAAGTCATTAATCATCGTTTTATTCATTACAGCAATGAGAACGTAACTAGCAGAAGAAATGGAATAGAAAGAAAAACTTATCTGCTGAAAGGCTGTGGGGCAGAACTATCTTTTACAGGAAATAGGTGGACAGTTTCTCTTAACTGTAACTCACATTGATCCTTTCAGCATACAAAGAGAAATGAGCATTCTATTTAAGAAGGTTTACTAAAAACAGGAGCAAGCTAAAGAAAGCTTTTCAAAAAAGGATTTTAGAAAAGCTCTTTAAAGGCCCTGTTCCGTAGATATTTCCATAAAATTGATCAGATTTTCAAACTGGTTCATCACTTCTCCTACATGTTCTTATATAACAACTAAGAAAAAAAAAAATTACCATATCATATATGACATAAATTTAGAAAACAGGATACTATGTCCACGCATCCACTGCTACCGAGATACCTACAGAGTCAACCACCTACCTTGCGCTGCTTTCAAAACTCACAGCCTCAGTGAAGGATGCATAGTCCACAAACAATTAAGGCTTCATAAATAAAGGTATGACCTCACAAACGTTTGTGAAAAGAAAACTGGCAAGATTTAGTTCACATTGTAAGCATCTTCTGCAGTGACGTTATGATTGATATGATGCGTAACTCTTAAAACCATAAACACAGTACAATACCTGTAGAAGACTTTCAATGGCGTGAAAGCCACGAATTAAATTCAAAGCCCCACATAACAGACTAAGTACAAATGAGACAATCCCTGGCAGAGTTACAGGTTCCAGACGCTGACGAGGAGCTGTAAAAGCACAAGGTCAAAAAAAGATACGAGAGGTCAAAGCAGAGTCTTCAAAAGATTTCATAAAATAGTAACCTCATTTTTCAGTATCTTCCGGCTCAAGAAGAGATCACTGAATGCCAATCTTTTTAAAAAAAGAAGAGGAAACATTTTAAACATATCAACACAAGGTTTAACAAAACATATACTTTCCCTCAACTTTCCCTCCCTTTAACTTGATATATCCAGTTTATTCAGCGTCGTACTGAAGGCTGCCCAAACATGCCAGGAAATCAATGGCAAATAACGCACCTGCGAGTAAAATTCGCCTACAATTAGTAGCCGGCTAACAAGTCACATACTTGAGAACTCCTCTCTCAACCTCCAATTGTCTTCAACACTGATGCATTAGCAGAGCTATCGAGGCTAATTCAGCTGGTTTGCTGAACAGAACACTATGAGGCAAAGCCTATTACATGTCCCTATCGCAAAAAATCCAGCCACGGAGTGCTACCAAAGATACAAATACAAGACAGCTCTGAAGCTGCAGCTAGTATCTATACTGCAACCTTATACAACAGACCTTTCCAATATGTTTAGAAGTTTCTTATAAAACATATTAAAATTAAAAAACACTTTCCTTCCATGCACACCTGCTCTTTTGGGCTTATCTAGAGCCACAAGTACATAACACTTGTGTACGTTCCTCATTAATGTCCCTTTCCATAATTAGTAACGGAAAACAAGTAGGAAAAAACAATTCAAAATCCATAACAGTACAGGCAACTACAGGAAACAACAGGACTAGTGAACCATGTTTAAATCATTCTGCTCAAATCAACGAAGTGTAACGATGTGAACAATGAGGTTAATGAACTGTAACATTAATATGGAGAGCGGTGTCAATCTTGGTTGCTTGCACTGAACAGACCCAGGCGAAAGGCTTTCCAAGCCGTTCATAAAGTTACAGACACTAAACCAAAAAAATGACAATAGCTACTTCTCATTGATAAACACACAAAGGCTGTTTGATTATCACCATGCGATAGCTTCAAAATAGAACACAAAATGAGTTCAATTAACTAATTTGTGCTGAATTTAATAACATACCCTATAATTTTTTTAAAACAAAAGCATAATTCATGTCTAACTTTCAGAGCTTATTGCTGTGCATACTAGAAGAACACTACTAGCAACCACTTACAGTTAAGGTTCGATATGCATCTGCAGTCCAAATCATTCTTTTTCAGCGACTTGTAACTTCTTCTACCAATCTCATTCAGAGTGGCAAAGAGCTGAAGGTTTATGTGACTGTTTCTCTCCAAAAGTCACTTCATTTTATTTACTGATGGATAAAATTAATTCACTAGTGAGCTCTGACAATCTAGGGACAGCTCTCCAAGCAGTCTCATTTTTCCCCTCGTATAGGGATAACTTTAAAACATCGTGCGTTCAAACAGTATTTAAAATGCTTCTTTGAGAGCCACAAGGAGCAAAGTAGAAGAGTTTTGTCAGCTCAACCAAGACAGCCTGCAAACTCAAAACTTCCTAACACAAGCCAAAGTACACAGAAAGCACAAATTCTGAATTAAATGCTGGATTTTATTTAGCAACTTTGGAAATTTACATTATTTCAGAAACTGCACTACTCGTAATGACATTCATAAAAAAAATAAACAAAACAGGTGCGCTATCAGGGAAGAAGTGTAATTATGATTTGAGAACTGAGCTTTCATTGAAAAAAGCTTAGAAAATACTAAACTCATCCTAACTAAATACCTAAAACATCACACTTCAGCATGCTGTCACCATATTTCTACTGTCTGTCAACACCTATGTTCACCTTTAAAGCAAAATCCTACCCTATAATCTGCACACTGAATGTTTCACACATTAAATATTACTAGCCCTTTTACTATACAGAACAACTTTCTCTAAAGAAAAAGGACTGCCATTTTCAATTACTTTAACTAGACAAGAGACCTAGACACCAGGCATTAAATTATTAAACACTGGATATACATCCAATAGCTTTATCTGTACAAGTAGCAGACAGTGCTTTATCAGCATAGCCAAGACTAACGCATGGAATTCCGCTATACCTTGCAACAAAACAAGATTTGTGCCTGCCTTCCTACCTCTGCATCCTATCTAATTTGATTTAACACATTTAATTCATTTGTAGCAAGTCATTTTTTTAACGGGATAGGCCCATTTCTCTTTGTAAGTGCCTCGGGACGGTAAGCACATTGAACAAACGACACAGAAGACATCTATGCTAAAACACACTATGTCATGGGAGCTTTTCACTTAAGAATATCACAGTCAAAAGGCTTTTTTTAAAAAAAAAAAAGAAAAAAGAAAAAAGAAAACATATCAAAAGAAAAATTAACTCTACCGCCCTACATCATTTAAGGATACAAGTAACTGAAGTCTGACACTTACCAGCAGATATCTTACCAGTACCCTTATAATCCGTAGCAGACAAATGTGCAAATCCATTAGCTGAACCCAGTTCCGACATGGAAATTTGATAAGGTGGCCTCAGTTTGATTTCTGTCTGCATGTCAGCAAGATTCATCTTTGTTGACAAAGAACGTGTGTTGTTGTATCTCTGTTTGGTCCTCTGAATGAAATTATCTGTGTCAAATTTAAAATGAAGAGGTACATCCTTACAGACTTTTGCTAATTAAATAATCCAAGACCATGCAACTTCACGGACAACACACTTCACAAATACACAAGTTTAAATACATTGTTTGAACTGCTTGCATTTATCTTGGAACATCCTAATACTATTTCTGTTTTATGACTAATATATTATGGGCTATTTAATTCTGCAGAACAAAATAAAGCAAAGTAACAGTAAAGTTACTTAATAACTGTGAATAAACTAATGCTTTTCACTGCACGAGACTGAAAGCATTGCTAATATAACCGATTTGTTGCATTTATGCAGGCTTTTCTTTTTTAGGAAATATCCTTATGAAAAAATTAACTTCTGCATTCAAGTATAAACTCACTTAAGTATGGAACGTGCCTGCAAAATATTCAGGCTGAGAAAGTTAATACCGTATTATACAGATATAAACTCTCTAATAGACCTACACTCTAATTTAACAACTGGTCAAAGAGAGAACATAGGGGGGAAAAAGCGAGTTCACAGAAATCTTTACAAGGAAGACAACAATGTTATATAAAAGTAATTAAAAATGGACTGAATTAATTACAGACAGGAATTAAACAAATGGAGTAGGCACCTCATATTTCTAAAACAGCAATTCTTTTTGCTTTAATGCAGTTTCATAAGCATAGATAAAATAACTGCGTAAGATATAGTTTTAAAGCGACAGATATTAATAGAAGCCCTAACAGTTGTTATCTGGTACATATGAGATTAGTTCTGTTTGGAGCTTGCATCACAGAAGGTTAAATGCATCACTATATCATAACACCAAAATCTTCTCTCCCTTTCACATTCTGAACAAAAACTAACACACTTAAGAGCAAACATGAAGTTCTGATCTTTTACTTTGGAAATTTATGAGGCTCAATGCCTTTATAGGTTAACTAATCCAAGTATGAAGTCAAACATGTCATAAAGTGTTATTAACTAGGAGAGGCTAAACTCCAAATTTAGTCACACAATACCTAAACTAAAACCTCCTTAAATGAACAGAAAGACTACAAACAACCTTTGGGTCAAACTCGAGTAGCCTAACTTAACTCCCATGGAAGCATTTTTTTCTGTTGACTATGATGAGAGTTAAATCAGATTCTAAATGCACCTGAAATACAGTTATAGACTCCCCTAGATACTTTTCTCTTGTGCGCATTAGGTTACACATCTACTTAAATACTGATTTGACCTAGAGTAAGAATGAGGAGGGTGACTGTAAAAAAAAAAAAAAAAAAAAAAAAGAAGAGTCTGATCCTTACCAAACTCTATAAAACAGTACGGTCTGATAGCAGTATTTGTCTTCATCATATTGTAGGTAGTGATGAACTCTTTCTGAAGTTCATCCAGGAAGCAGAAAGCCAGGACACTAGGATAATTTTCAGTGCACAACATCATATAGCTCACTCCCAGAGAACTGATAAAGCTGTAATTGAGACAACAAATTCAAAACTTCAAAATGAAATCCAGGTAATCCACAGCTTTACAAGTCAGATTTCATATTCTGCAATCAGAGTAGCAGAAACTGCTCCAGGATAACAAAGGCACTAATGTTTATTGAAAAGTCAAACGCTGTTCTAGATGAGAACAATTTACCTTTAGGTAATGCCTTACTTTAACATAGCATTGTACCATCAAACAAGGAGCTATGCTATACATATATATGAGTGTTACAATTGAGTAACATGCAAATAGATAGATAGGAGACAAAGCCCTTGGGATACAGGAGTTGGTGTCTGTCCCATGAGAGCATTTCAGTAATCTCAGATGTAGAATATGGCATCAGGTACATCCCAAAAACACAAACAATTTATCTTCAGAAGGGTTGGGGGGAAAGGGAGCACAGAGGGCTGTTTTTTAAATATGTGAGAGAATGAAACTATTCCACAGAATGACAGATTCATCACTCTCTAAAGACAGATGTAAAGATGACAGCAAATATGGAATTGGAATGGAAATATGGAAATATGGAATTGGAAAGAAGGAAGGGTTTTCAATGTACGTATACCCATTGCAATTGGGCAGCTCATTGAAACGTAGTTCGCTTTTTCATGACACTCAAATTTCTTCAAAATCTTGATATATAACTTAGCATAGAAACTAATCAAAGCTCTACAGAATAAGTTTTTAAGTTTTACATGCCATTCTTAAAAGTTTCTTACAAGCTGATCAGTTTATAAACCAACCGCAGCTGTTATCTAAAAAAAAGTAACCATTGACTTTATTCAAAAACAGTTCCACATTTTATGGATAATTAAAGCAACGACCAACGTTACATGTTAGAGAAAAATTTACTTTTTGCTCTTTGTTCACACAAACAGAAACTGTTTGCTCTTTGTAATTAAGATGTAAAATACTGCAGAACTTCAATTCACAGCAGTACAGATTATCAGATACTAGGTACATGCTTCGCAGCGTCTCTACTCTTGTTTAAAGAATGGTCATACGACATGATGACTAAGGAAAAAACTGAGAAAAAGAATTAGGAACTTATTTTTTTAAATAAATCAAGTGTTCACTCTTTCAAATCTCAGCTCACATCTTAAGATAACTTACTGAACAATTACAAAATGGAAATAATAAGTTATTGTTCAACAATCAGGTAAAACATGCTGCTACCGTGTTTTTACCAAGTACCTGATGACTGGCAGGCGAGAACACAGAACAATCTCTACAGTGCAAACTTGACCTTTTAATTTTTGGGATGAAAATGAAATTGCAGCCTACTGAAGCAATGAAAAAGAACGTGCAAAATTTTTGTATTGATTTGTCACTGCACTTTGGAACTGCTTTCCAAGAATGCTTTTTGCAGCTTTGTTAACCCCGCCGAAACTATGAATCAAAGAGACATCAACTGGAAAAACATAGCCCATTCTGAGCCTAATCCTGATTGATGCTGGAAACTTACTGCTACTGACAGGATATGGAGAAGCTGGAGCACTTTCTAGGATTAGGCACGTGGTACACAGTCCCACTGCTATAAGTGTTAGCTTAATGTCAACCTGTTTGCTAGGGGTTAGGATGAAATCACTTGACTCATTTAAAATGGCATATCTAAATTAGGATTTCAGCTCAGCTAAAGTGCAACTGAATTATCAGCTACACACAGGTGCATCTAATTACCAATACTAAGGAAAAAAAGGTCACGTATAAAGCAAAATTTTGAGTGAATACTACATTCAAATAATTATTTCCTGATAATTCAAGTTTCACATTGCAATGGTGGGAAAAAAAAAAAGCATCTTCTGAATTACTGCTTATTAAGTGTTGACATGCAGGTATACTACCAAATTGACTAGCTTCAAAATTGAAGGACAAGAACAATTGAGAAACTGTTTTAAGAAATAAAAAAAGGATGTAAAGAGAAAACAGAAAGCATTGCTGTGGAAGTGCTGGATGGCGTATCAGGATAAGCAGACTCCTTCAAAGCTTTACTACACATTTCCTCCAGACTCTGGAAAAATTCTTCCCACTCCCTCACTCCCCATGTGCAATACTATTTCTCTCCTGCCTGATGAAGATATTATACTCTCCACTAATGTCCACAAGCACCTCCAAAACTCTTCACAATGCATCCAAAACAAAAAAAAAAGCATTCACATAAATAGAATAAGACTTCTGCAGTACCTCATAAAATATTTAAAGTTTGCAATATTTGGACAACATTTTAAGAACTTACGGACGGGGGGGGAACAGGATTTCAAAGGTTTAAATATTCACTTTCAACACTGGAAACAGCAAACGTAACAGCATTTTCTTAATGCATGAGATCCATGGAAGGAAACTTAACAGTTCAGCTATACCATCCAGATAAAGAAATAGATGAGAAGTGAAAAATCAGTTTCTAACAATGAATCATTTTTAATAAATGAAATATGCTTTCAACAGTAGAGACTGATTTTGTCTGAGACCAGAGAATCATGATATTTTTTCTACCATATATCATGCGTATTTAAATTTTAGGACCTGCCAGTCAGAATAAGGTCTCCATTGACACAAGCAACATACAAACACGTAGGAAGACACAGTAAGAGAATTACTATTTGGTGCCTCAACTGACATCACTGTATGGAAAAATTGTTGAGTTAGGCTTATTTCTTAAGGTATGACGTTTTCTCTGAAGTCAACAGAAATTCTAAATGTACAATGAAGGCATAGTAGGACCTAACTCCATAATAAAATACACACAAGATACTAGACTATCAACGTATTTGAGTATTTTTTCTGTTTGTGCAGGCTAAAAGGGGAAAACGGGTAGATACTACTTGAAATAACATGATAAATAATTAAAAATCTCATGAATCTCACGCGAGAAACAACCTTGAAATTAACAGAAATCTTTCTAGTAAGTCAACAACTTCAGTATTTATAAAAATATTGGCAATTTAAATGATAATTTCCGTTGAAGTGTGGTAGAAATTCTAGAAGTTCTCAATTTTAAATTTCCGATACACAAAAAGCTTCTTAATTTGATCAGTCACTACCGATGTGCAACAGTGACCTTTTTAAGTTACAGACAAGCTCAACCCAGGAACGTTATAAATATATGTAAGAGATGTCTTACTTTATATTATACTGCCCAGTTTTCAGAGTGCATCTATCAGGAAGCTGAGAAAGTTTCTTTGAGAGCATTTTAAAATATTTCCTACATTCTTGCACTCCTGTGCTTTGATCATAATCAGTAGATGCAGACAGCGGGAGTCCATCCCTCACACGGACCACAGAGGCAGATAAAATCATAGACATTGCCAACAGAGTTAACGACAACCTAAAACAAAACACAAAAAAACCTGAGAAATACGGAGGAATCAAAACTAAGGTAAAAAATAAAGAGAGAGGAGCCAACGGTGATTACTCAAAGCTCCCAAACTGTATACAGAGCTCAATCTGAAAATGGGGCACAGGGATGAATTTTCAACTATAACTCAGATTAGAATCTTCACTGAGTAGGACCTAACAGTCTACGCAAACCACAAAGAGGCAGCAAATCTAACATCATGTTTTCAAATATTTTTTTATATGAATTAATCTAATTACCTTGATTACTTTGCCTGGGTACTACCATAGCATTTATACTCTTCACAATGTAAGCCTTTCTTCTGCAGTGAGACAAAAATTATAGTCTAAATAAACAAGAACAATAGCTGGAGGGGTAAAAAGTGTACGATAAAAATATGCCAGATAGAAAATTCATCCTGGCCTTGATGAACCAATAACATTAATGCACTTTCATGAAACTGTGTTGCTAAACGCATGCTTAAGTACCTTGACAAATGGAGACTTACAAAACTTAAATACAATCAAACAAGAAACCAAGTAATCGAGACAGCAAAGAACATAATCCACCTCTCCCAAATCATAACACAAACTCTGAAATATGAAATGTCTTTTTTCTTATCTAGTTCTCTTTTTTTTTTTTTAAACCTGCAAAATGTATCTATCACTATTATACAAACACCAGACAAGTTAAAACAGCACTTGTAAGGCTTATGTGCTTCTAGAGTATTTAACTTTTAAAACATAATAATTAAAGCTTTGTGGAAAACACAATAATTAAAGCTTTGTGGAATCTAACCTCTGAAATAATGGCAAAGAACGTAAGTAGGCCAAAATACAATTTTTTTTTCTGGTTTGAAACAATAGCTGTCTTTAACTCTGTAATTAAAAAATTAAGAAAAAGTTGCGTATTAAAACATTCCTGACACACAGCAAGAAAATTTACAGCAGGTATTTAACAATATAAACACATACCCTGCAGACAGTCTCTGAAGACACATTTTTTAAAAGCTTCATGCTCTTCAAAGCTTACATTTAATCAAAACATCCAAAAGTTTAGCAAGACAAGCATTATGCAGATTTTTTAAAAGATGAATTAGTTATATGCTAAGTAACAGTAAACAAGATTTGTCCTCTGACAAGTGGGTAACTGGTAGAACTTACATGAAGTCAAAGCAAACACACTTCCTCACTCAACTCTTAATACTGCTCTGTAAACACACTACAGCTATGACTTCAGAAATTACGAAAAAACAGGTGTTTGCCTCCCTCAGAAGGTGCACTGAAGTTCCATGTAGTCAAAAACTGAAAAAGAAAACATTTCTGAATACAGCTGAAATGCTCGAGTGTGCAGCACTGACACATCTATAGCACCTTTCAAAACCACGACATTAAGGGTGCTTTACAACACTTAGCAACTGAAGGACTCTATTCTAAAAATTAGGAATCAAAGTTCTCCCAAAATAGCATTGCCTCTTTGCAAAAGAGCAGGAAAAAGCCACTTTTTCCTGAACTCCTGCCTCCTCTCTTTCCCCCTGCACAAAGGGTTTACACCTGGATATTTTTGAATAACAATCAATATTCACGTTTCTCAAGAATATTTACTCCTCACAGAGAAAGTTGTGCAATAATAGAAACATTGAAAATTGGTTGCAATTTTCAAGTTAAGAAAGAAATTCAGCTGCTTCTTCAGCGGCAGCCAAACTTCAACCTGCTTTCAGATGAGTTATGTTAACTTAGCAATATGAGTTCCAAATGAATGCCCTTCTAACTTTATAGTGCATCAGACTTTCACCAAAGTTGTAACAGCAGCAGAAGCCACTGCAGCCACCGAGAGCCTCTGAGCCCTTGCCGGTTCCTACCTACGACAAGCCTACTGGTGCAGGTAGGCTTCTTAATCCAGCATCTCACCACAGAATTCCCTAGTGTACAAAATGCTTTGATCAGAGTTGGATACTTCAGAATTTCCTCTAGGTTAGTTTGCTAGAGCAAAGCATTCTAGAAATTTAGCCTACAGTTTTGGCAACTTGTATGTACCTGCACTTACGTTTATGCAAGTCTCCCAGTAAAACAAGTCACATGAAATACAGACCATACACACGGCACTCGTTTCCTTAACTACGCTGCCAACCATATAACCCTGGCAGTGGCTCACAAGCATGACACAATCACAGGGGATGTAACGTTTCTCGGACAACAGCTGCTTTTATCACTTGGGACTCTGGGAGCAACATCAGAACAATAATGTGATAGCAAAAGTTTATAATTCCCCCTCATTAACTTACTTGCACAAAACGGAATTTCATGGATCTGCATTTCCTCTGGTGAAGTAACTTCATTAGCACCTAAAGGGAAGAAAGGACCCACAGCTCCATGTCCTGTCTTAGGAAAAGGCCGCAGGTAAGACAGCAAGGCAGGAGAAACTCAGAATCCTGAAGCCAGCTCTCCGAAGAAAAAATACTGTTCTGTTTACTTTTTATATGATCTCGATCACTGAAGTTCATGTCGAGCTATCTGATGAGACAAGATTGAACAAATTAATACATGCATTTTGTGGCTAACGCTATTATTCAATTCTTTTTGTGAGGCCATGCTCATCAGAAACAGTTTACTAAATCTCCAAAATGAAAACGCAGCTTTTACTTGGCTTTCTAAACAATCAGGCTCCGCAGAAAGCACCAGCTGGCACGTTTGATACAGACATATATACACAGAGGCTGAAGAAAGAACATTAAGGATATAACAGAAAACATAGCTGATTCTTCACAAACCATGCCGTTAGCCAGGGGAACTCCTTGCCACAGGATGACGTAGATGCTGAAAGTTTAGGTGGATTCAAGAGGTAACTAGATAAGTTCACAGATTAGCTAGAAGGGTTACTCTATCGAAAAGACTACCCCTTGCTCAGGAAGGGCCCGACCCACAAACAATGAAAGCACACTACGGCAAAATCACTCTGTGATGGTGCCAGTGTTACGCTTCTCTGTACGCATCTGCTTCTGACCTGTCTTTACGGATTTCCCCTTACACTAAAACTTCACAGGCCTCTCTGAAAATCGGGACAGGGAGAGTTCAAGGAAAAGAGAAACATGGAGAAACCAGACCACAGACGGGAAAGAGCGACACAGGTACGGGCGTGCCTGTGTTACTGCACTCTCCCTAAACCTGCCAGAAAATCGTCCACACTCTGCTGCTTTCACAAATGGGAATTATTATTCCTCCCATTAGAGGGAAAACTGGGATGGTGCAAATCAGAGCCTGTTACTGTATTTTTTTTAAAGATAGATCCAGTTATCATCGAGTTTATCTATGTGTTATGGATGACACTTGGTCCTGAGGCAGCATCAAGAAAAGTCCTAGAAAGTGGTCTCTATTCCAGCTTTCCTCTGTAAGGGATTGGCCTTTCAGTTTGACATATGACAATATGAGTTTTATACTTATCTGTCTTCTCATAACTCTTTACGAGAAAACATCCAAAAGTGGTCTGTGAAAACGGTTTGCTCAGGATACGCCAGTCTTTTAAAAACAGACTAGCTTCAGAAAAATTGAAAGATATTGTAAATAAATGTAGTGTCATGGCAGACCTACTCTCCTGCACCCGCGAGCTTTCAGCATCTCCTTAATTAAGCCTTCCTTGCCAACATGCCTGCCTCTCCTATTAACACTCCATAAAACACAAAATTGGGTTGTGGTTGCAAGCCAGGCGGCTCCTTGTAAAAGCAGAACGAAGATACGGTTTCCATGCTTACTTCAAGCATACAAGAGAGCCTCAGAAAATTTGTTTTCCTCTCTTTTGCAGGCTGTGACAGCTGTATTACACAGGGAGCAATCTCAGTCTCCCCACTCCTCAGCACCCTTTAGAAACCCGTTCCGCCACCGAAAACACTGCCTAAGGATGGGAGATAAATAAAGCCACTTTGACATTATCAGCTATGATCGGACTAGGAAATAATCCCAAACCACTAGCCCGTATAATCCTTCTCATAAAGAAGAGGGA